AAAAAAAAAAAAAAAAAAAAAAACTCGCTGGATGTAAAGAAAATTGGGGGCTATTACTAACAATGCATCTCTGGTTTGTGTTTGTGCCAATGTGAGAGTCATCCTCTTAACTGCAGGTTTTTATCCAATTCACCTCTGATACTATAATGTGTGCTGGTTTGCATTAACCCTTAAATATCAATTAACTGACCACAAGAGGGAGATAAATTCTGGGAATTCAATCGACAAATGTGTGCACTATGCGTGCCTCATTTACAAGTTTGTTTGTTGATTTACTCCTTGCACATTGTTTGTTTTACTTTGATACAAACATAAAGAGCAGCCCACATCCATAAAATGATTTTGTTGAGCAATCACTTACCAGGGTATTTGTAATATCAGACAGGAAATTGCTTAATTAAAAAACTACAGTCTTAAAATTAATACTACAAACAGTTCAGCTATTTCTACACATGCATTCAATGTATACAGTATACAACAGGCAGTTCAGCTGATCAGTTTTTACTCCTCAGGTGAATGTCATTGTGAGAGTATTCATTTTGTTTTAAACCACAAAGTGAAATACCAAAACGATGATCAATTCGTAATGGGAAACATAAATAACACACAATTTAAAGATCCCAGATTTTGTTGCAGTTATGGCGGCTGTGTGTTTAGTGACGCTCCGATGTTAACTTGTACATTTTTTTCCAACCAAACAATTTCCGAAGTGTAAAGAATGTAGATATATTTACCTATATCAGTTATATTGCCACGACTTCAAAGTAATTACACGATAAAACTAACAAGATAAAGAAGTACAGGTAAGACAATAATACTGAACATACATTTAAACTAAACAATCACACTCCCTGAGAAAAAAAGAATAAGATCTCAAGCCTACCTGCCCCTTGCTCTTTAGATCAATCTAATCCCACCAGCAAAGCCCTGAAGTCAGCCTTGTATATCATTTGATCTTTTACACATATACCTTCAGCTACAGAGGAAAACACACAAGTCTTTACTCAACTGCTTACTTTACTCCACTTAGACATGTCGAAAGTTTCTGAAATGCAATTACTGCAGTAACTGCAACTATCTTTTTCCCCAACAAAATATTTATCATGTGAATCAAATGTAAATGTCAGTTTAATTTCCTAGAAATCCCAAAATACCCTAAAGGTTCCCCGAGTCACAGTGCTTACTTTAGCAAATTTTGTTTTACTAAATTACTGAGTGATATCACTATAAATTATAAGTGCTGTGTTGGGATAGTATTGCGCCTAGTAAAATGAAGGGGGGTATTAGTGAACCAGGTCAATGTTTTTTTTTTTTGTACCTCATAGAGCAGGCAGCCCAGAGACCAGATGTCAGACTTAAAGTTGTATCCATTCTCGTGTATCCTCTCTGGAGACATGTAATAAGGGGTACCCACTGGAACAGAAAAGAAACATAAGTCAATCCCACTCGTTCCAGAAACATTCTTCAAACTTCAGAATGCAACACGGAGGCTGGGCCACAGTCCATTCTCAACGAGACAAATCAGAAGTCAAAATTATACATAGCTGCAGTCAAATGCAGTGTGGTTCATACATTGAAGTCATTACACTCTGAAATTCATACTACTAACTTAATTAGATCCATAACAACTAAGATATACTGACATATAAAATTATTTTTAAAAACTGTAAAAACTCAGAAACTACTCCACATTATCCTTGCTATGACATGCAATGTTTTTCTTTTTAAAAATGAGTATTTAACGATAACATGAGTGAATGTATCAGTTTTCCAGCACCTGTGTTGTCAAGTGGTACAAAAAGATGTATTTACCACTTCCTGCCACATGAAGGTGTAGTGAGCTTCCTTCATTTAAATCCATCAATAAAATTATTGTCTCTCGGTCTAGACATTCAATGCATATTGGCCACAAAAAGACTCAATCACACAGTGCATATATACTGAATATGCACCCTGTTATAAAACATCCACGTAAGAAAAAACAGCTAATAATTTCTTTGCCGTTGCTAAATATTTCAGATAAACTGCTCGATTAAATGCTTCTATTCATAGTCAAAAACTAGCTAACAAAATCAGCTAACAAGAAGGTACTTTTATATATCTCGAAATATCAGGCGTGTCTATTAAGATGAACATCCACACTTCTGGTGTACAAGTCCCCCCCTGTGATGAGAGAGGGAGGGGCGCGCGGGGAGTTGAGCGAAGATCTCGCCCGCTCTGTAGCCCGGAGAGCAGGCAGCAGGTAATTGGCAGCGAGAAACGGGCACCGGGAAGCCGCACAACAGGCCGCAGGGGCAGGCAGAACAGGTCTGAAGGCTTCAGCTTCACCCGCAGCGCAAGTAATTCCTCCCAGCGACTGGCAGAGGCCTTCAGGTACGCAGCGGGGGGGGGGGGGGGGTTTGTAGGTGGGAGCGTGAAAGATTGATGATAGGAAAAATACAGACAAATGCTAGGGGTTTACCGAGCCTGGTCCTCGTGCAAGACCGTAAACAGGACAAATGGACAGAATCTCCTGCTGCACCAGCAAAGATAAGGCGAAACATTTACGTACTAAAAATACATTAAGATAAAAAACACCAAATAAAAGACACCTGAATTGGCACTTCTATTTTTTAATTAATTTATTTTTTTAAATACAGTCCATCCCAAATCCAAGCCTGACAGAGTTGTCATCACTTTCAACAGGTAATTGACGAAAGGGGAATATGCAATTAGGGGAAATCGAGAAATTAAACCACCATTGCCAGTATGACAAACTATTGCTAAACAATTTTAGTGTAGCGCAAAAAGATTTTTCATTTTAACGTAAATCGTTAAAAGAATCATTAAAATAATGCCAGGATAGTGCTAAGATGTATAACAACTTCTGTTTGACTGCTAAGAAAAATGAAGAAGCTTCCCTTTTAATTACAGGTGGACAGCCCAGAACTACAGAGAGCAAAACTTATACAAAATAATGCAGACGAAAGGCTGAACTGATAACACTTATTCATGGCTGACAGATAAATAACCAGCACAATCAACTCTTAGTGCCATTTTCCTCACAGGATTTCTTTTGATGTTTGTACCCCCCCCCCCCTCCCCCATCAATTTAAAGGGGAAGGAGCCTGCGGCTGAAAATGCAAACATAAGTAAGGCTCTCTGTGTTTGTGTCTGCGGGCGGCCGGGCCACCAAAAGGCGGAGTTAAAAGGCTACGGCTCCGTTTCCGAGGCCGAGGGCTGACAGACGCGCGGGGCCTGCTCCCGAGACCTCCATCAAGAGCACACCCAGCGTTCTGGCGAGGAGGTTCCTCTCATTACTGCCCAAACTGTCAGCCCTCGACGCCACCCCCAACCCCTTCCCCACCCACCGCGCCAACCACCCGCCTCCCTGCACAGAGAAAGGCTTTAGTCTCCTCGCCCGAAGGGAAAGGCTGATCCGGGGTCTCTTTGCCCCTGGGTGAATTTAACCTGCCATGCAAAAAGCCATGAATCTCATCCCCTGCCGTATCTCAGCCATGCGAGTTAATCCTCGGCTGAGAAAGCTGACGTACCCAGACTCCTCTTGTACGCTCACCGAAATACGAGCTCGCTATCGCCACTTGATGAATGATGCCAATGAAAATTCATACTCGTTATACGGATTAAACGACCGTTACACAAATTCAGCACTGACATGAAAACGGCAAGCGCTGCAGCCTTTTAAAGCATGACAAGGCCTTGTGACCACTGACTGAGACATTAAAAAAAAATCATTCAAAATCTTGATGTGAGGATACATTTAAACACAAAACAATGCATTTCAAAATGACACAACACTGTGTGCTGAGAATCTGAGACTTCAAGTTAACACAGGATGGGCATGCATGGGGGGGGCACGACATTAAACTGAAAACCCACAAATACGTCCCACACCTGATCTTTATTTCTTTACCAACATCTAATAATCTAATCAAAATGTCAAAAAACATTTATTAAACTAAATTAGTAAACAGACAAGTGTACATGAAAAGGATTGCCTGTGCAGACTATAATATTTTAATATTATTGAGAAGCAAAAGGTTTACAGTGCCTTCCTCAGAGCCAAACCTCAGCAATGCCCAGAGTTATATCACTCATTTTTTTCTGGCATAATGCAAACAACTTGATTTAAAAGTACCTATAAAAACATTTGTATATTTTATAAGTCGGTTTTAGTGCTCACTTTGTGTACTATTAACTGCTTGAACAGTATATTACACTCAACGTACTATACTGCATTTAAAGCTTTACTGCAGAATGACTTGAGATTTTACTACGACGCAGAACATTTGTGAAACTGTGAAGTAAATAAATGCTGACCTTTAACCAGAGCGTCAGAAATCAAAGTCAACGAAAGAACAAAGAGGAACGCATTTGAGCTGTAAAAACCTTGAAGATTATTGCCAATCCAAAAACTGACGGACGAGCAGCCCAGAATGAGATAAGCAACAGGATCACGGTAATAGCCACAAAACTCAATACAGAGCCGTTCTTGTTGAAAATCGGAAAGTTCAATCTTATTAAACTACTCCTACTCAGCTAGATGGAGCCATTTTGTGTGGACTGATCAGTGTTTACAGCTTTTTGCGCAATAATACTCATAAGAAGGGTGGCGAGGCCAGACTTGCTACATCCGGACGTCATCTGCAAAGAGGTCAAAGGTCGAGGCAACAGGAAAGCCTTAACTACACAATGAAACTAATATACCTGGGGCTTCTTTGTAGGCTTTGCCTGGAGGTGGGGGAAGGTGGGGGCTACGTCGGGTTTTTATAGCAGACACATGGTTTTGGTCTTGGTGATATAATGAAACACATCCTGCTCGTCAAATTGAAGGACTGATCCCTTCAAAACTTTGTTTTTTTTTTTCTTTTTCAGACTTACCTAACGAATGAGCCGCTGTGGTTTTGGAGCTGAAGAAACGGCCCAGCCCCAGGTCTCCGAGTTTTACTACCCCGGTGGCAGTAATGAACACATTAGCCGGCTTTATGTCTGTGGAAGAAAGGATCTATTTAATATTCAAAAGGGTCACCTCACAACTGCACGGGGAGCAAGGGGAAGGCATGAGCCATCTGTGACAGGTAGCATGGTAAAGTTGAGCAATATCACAAGTCATAGGTATTTAGCTTTAAAAAAAACATCAAAATTTGTTTTTCAAACATATGTAAAATAACTTCTGAATGCGACATATATCTAACACAAATTTAAAAGGCTGTGACCCTTTGTAATCGGAAATCAGTTTTTTAGTGTGACAACATTAATGTTCTGCTATTACAAAGCTTGATGTAAACAGAATTCTAAGTAGAAACATATTAATGGAACATAAAAGCACCAGTTAAAAAGTAGCCGATCACCAGAAACTTGTGATACAAGCTATACCTCCCCTATGATTAATGTGCTGCTGTCAATGAGAACATCTTATTCAGCGAAGTGCAATTGGGAGGCGAGGTGGAGCTGAAAGGCACCCCATATTGTGGGTGAATCTCGTTCCAGAAACATGTCGGGGAAAAGGCAGTAACACGTAAGGAGGCAAGGCTACTAGTTGAATGTTTCATGTCCTGCAGAATATGGCTCGTTCAGCTGATCGTATCGTGAGAGGAAGGAAGCAGAGTGATTACGATGGATGAGACGTCCGCATGGAGTGACAGATCCACGTGTGGTAGGTCCTGGTGATTTTACACCAAGGATAGCACTCCCACGGATTACGAGGGCCGGTGTTCACAGCGGCCCGTGTGCATGCGGGGCGCCAGAGTGGGACAGTCCACAAGATGTGTCTCATTACCAGCATCCATCTCCACACCTTCAAGCAGCCTGTCTTCCCCTGTTTTAGGCTTCCATACTTAACCAAATGTTTTGGTTAACATGACCAATCTCAGGTACTGGAAAATACATAGTAAGTCACGAAATCGCTATTTTAATGATTAATTCATGTTAGTTTCATGCTGATAATTAAAACAAAAACCATGTTAAAACAATGAGGATCATCCTAGGAACCACACATGTAGGATGCTCAGACAACTGGAAAATTACAAAATGACACAATACCAGATTAGTAGGAGACAACCGGCTTCAATTTATAGGTTAGTCATGCAACTTTGGAAAATGTCAGACTCACATGCTGACCTGTCAGTAAAATCCGGCACTCCAAACGGAAAATGGTTTCACAGCACAAAAAAGCATTGGGGAAGCTGTTTGTTTGTCCTCCAACTAAACCAATTTATTATTCATTTCCCTATGACCGGCAGCCTGGTCAGTTATGACAGTACTTTTTACGTCTGCAACAGGTGTACGGAGGTTTCACAGAAGCAAGGCTTGTTGGCATCGTTCAGATTTCAAAACATATCGGCAGCTCTTAACTCCTAAATAGATATATGTCAAGCATATATGCCCATTGTGTAATAAATTGAAGTCACATCACAGGACTCTCCTGTTTTAAGTTGACAATACATTAAAACAAGCATTTTTTTGCATAAACTGGCACTCATTGTGACTCATTTCCCAGGATCCCAAGTGTCATGCATATTTAATGAGCCAAAGTGCACATAACTTCCCCCCCCAGCCCCGCCCCAATTGAGTCAAATGGGAAAACAATTTGTGTTGACGTACTGCCCAGCTTCATGGGGGGATCATGTGCATTGTGGGAAAGGTTTTTGGGTATATCATTTTCTGCATTACAGCAACATGGCTGGAGAGCATTTTGGCTAGGAATTCAGAGAGGAGGAGGAGGAGGAAGAGGAGGAGCAGCCGGAGGGAGAGGAGGTACCTCTGTGCATGACGCGGCGGGAGTGCATGTGGTTCAGCGCACTGCACAACTGGAGAAAGTACTTCCAGACAGTCCGCTCAGGGATCAGCCTCTTCTGCTTCTTGAAGTGCTGTGGAGCATACAAAAGCCTCTTAACACACCAGCCATTCAGAGGAGAACAATTAGCACACAGACACATATATACATTACATGCATCTCCCCTGAGACTAAAATGCGCATTTGACTATGGCTTTTCATCCTAATGCAATTATTTCCTGAAGGTGCAGCAAAGAGGTTAACTAATAGGTTCATGAGATTCCCATGCTGAGTGATACCATTTATAAATGCCTCATTATATGTTGCTTTTCCTGGACCACCGCAGTGGTCTTCCCTATACGGAAGGTGTTGCGGTTCTGAGCTGGACTCCTCGTACAGACCATCACCCTGACAAACAGCACCAAGGTTTCCTTCCAATGCGCCCTCTGAGATTAACTCGACTCGCCGACGTTGCGACTCACATCGAAGGCGGCACTTTAATCTGACGCAGGCACTGACCTTTGCGGAGTCTTAAAATGTCGCAATTAAAAGTGCACGCATTTCCAGAAGGCAGGGGGGTAGGGGGGGCCATTTTGGGTTAAATGCCCACATCTGGCATAAAGTGCTTAAACACATAAATGGACCCAGAACTTCAATCCCCCCCCCCCCCCCCCCACACACTTCTCAATTTTAACTTTGTAGTTTGATATGACGCTGATCTGATTTTTATGCCTGTAATATTAATATCACTGGTGACTCATTAGGTAGCACTGTGGTCACACTCCATTGGTTCAAATCCTCTCCTCCCCAACTTTGCGTGTGTGAAGATTGGCTTGTTCTACTCCTTTTTGGTGTGAGTTACCTCCTGCAGTGCAAATCACATGCAACTTAGGTCATTCTACCTATAGTGAGTTACTCACCACATTCACACGCACGCTAAGAAAATTGAATTATAAAACCGGACTTTTAAAGTACATGTAAACACGTTAGTCCAACTGAAATCATACTAAATCGAATTTCTCTTAGTTGGACTAAAACACCAACATAATGAGATTGGGAGTCGATTAGGAGCAAAGCAGAGGACATACAGAATGTACAAAACGTCCAGAACTGAAAAGCTGTCCAATTCACCACTCAACTAAAGGGCACTTTTACACCACACCAGGCACCACACTTTTGGTACTTCAAGAAGGCATCAAAAGCATGATACCTCAAGGTGCTGGTTTTCAACTGGCATAAAAACCGGTGCTGTAGTATATTATTATAGGGCTGGATGATGTGCAATATTAATACCAACATCACATGTTATGCACATTAAATTTTTACATTGCTAGTCAGCTAGATAAAGATAAGGTTTTTCCTTACCTTCAATTTGGTATGAATATTATAGCACAGGGATACCGTGTTGCCATATATAATAAAAAATACTTTATTGCTTGTTATGTTATCCTGATCTTGTGCTATTTGTTCTTCCGACCAGATCGCAATTAAAGTTTGTCACTTCATTTGCACCCATTATTGTTAATTTTATTACTTATTTATTATGTTTTTTATGTCTGTGACATAATAGGTGAACCGGAAAAAGCCCAAAACTAACAAGCTGAAAGGAGCCATATCGCCACCCATTGTAGCGGAGCCAGACATACTTCCGTCAATTAATCAATTTTAATGCATGTATACTGGGACAAGGACAGTAGTCCGATTAAACGGCACAGTCGGACTATGACCACAGCCCAACTTAGCTATGCATGAAAACGTACTGACTCTGTGTGTGTCTGTGTCTGTGTCTGTGTGTGTGTGTGTGTGTGTGTGTGTGTGTGTCCTGTAATGGACTGGCATGTTCTCTAGAGTGTCCCCCCCTTGTGCTCTCGCCTTCCTGGGATACGCTCCAGGTTCACCATCACCCAAAACCTGGATAAAAAGCCATTGAACATGGATAGGTATAATATTAATATAATTTGACAAGTATCTTTTACAAGAATAACAATACATTTAAACAGTCATTAATATCACAAAAGAAAGAAATGAGTGTTGTAATAGCACCAATTGTTAAACAGAACACCAATCCTGGACCATTCATTCTATATTTAACCAATTACCAAAAATATTGGTTTCCCTTATAACATATGGCTGATGGGGAAACTTGCTTTCAATAAACTCATTACAGAACAGTAACAGACCTTTAATTGTTCTGTTAATTACCTGGTTAACAATGAGCTGTTAGAGGGCAGTAATTACAGAATTAATTACATGGGTAGAACTTGCCAGGCTAATGATCAAATGCTCCAAACAGCAAACCGCAAGGTAGAGAGCATTGCTCCATTGTTAAAGGTGTATTACCTGCCAGGATCACATGATACCTTACGAACCCACTTTCACCTATTCTACCCATGTTTGGCAAAAACTATGTGCAAAATTTCAAATGTGATATTCAACCGAAGAAGCCCTGGCCCACATCCAAACAAAGCTTGTGGATCTATTCTTCCCCAACCCCCCCGCAACCCACCACACCCCAGCCCATCTAATTTGCATATCAGAGGGTTGTTTGATGTCAATGGGGTATGTATGGGGCCTCTATGCCTTTAAAAGCAAACACTGCACATGCAATATTCTGTAAGAGTATGCAAATGAAGGGCCACTGCATTTCATTTGAATTCTGAAATGGTCAGGAATCAAAAAGAATAAAAATGTTAAATTCATGCATTTAGACGGCAGTTTCGCACAAGCCGCGTGCTCATATTTATTTCATAATGAGCAGCTTTATCTTGATTTGTACCTTTAGGATGTCACACTTTTAACTGCCAAAGGAACCTAATAATATATACTAACTGTACCTAATGAATATAACTGGATATAAATATACATTATTAAAGATAAACAACAAACATTCCAGTTATCAACATGATACCCCTGTCAATAGCAATCACTAAATGTTTACAAATTTAGTTAATGCATGATAATAAAAGTCGTCATTCCAGAAGTGTGAGCTCAACCCCCTGAAGTCTGCATGTTCTCCTTACATTCCCTCTGGATTCCCCAAAGTCCTCAAAACATTCAGCAACATGCCTGTTGGGTTAACAGGTAATTCTAAACTGGTCATGTGACCAAATGGTGACTTTGTGTGTGTATCCTTCCGCTAATTGGAAGATACTCCCAGATCATCACACCCTTAAGCGGCTAACGAACATGAACCCAAGGGTTTACGTTATTACCAGACACTTCTGTTATCTGTGAAGTTTACACACGGGACATTATTGTGTACTCTAATCAGAAGTTCCAAAGCTGGAAAAATTATAAATTCATAAAGGTTATAACAGTGTATAGGATTATTTTGATTTTTCTATATAAAAAAAAGCCTTTGGTGCGAATATTAAACAACCTCTGATGTTTCTTTATAATGCAATATTAAATCTACGGTTTTAATCAGCAATCTTATAAATACAAAACAAGTGCACTAAAAACACAAGGACCAAGACTTTGGCTGAGATGTGCAAGAACATTTTACAAGATGTTATGCAAAATACTACAGAAACTACGTTTCCAAATTGTTAATTCTCCTACACATTTTCTCCTCTGTGTTCATTATTTATGAAAACGGGTAGCAATATATTGAATGATGTTCTATTCATAGCGCATAGTTTTTAAATTAAGACAAAACAAACATGGAAGTCAGAAACCTTCTACTTCATGAACATCATGAAAAGATGACATGGTGTCTCATTAAGGTCCTGGAGACCACTGAGTTACAAAACAATTGTTCAAGAATTGTGGTTTTTCTACACTTCACACACTCATCCTAATGCCAAGATAGCTAAGTAACTAGATAACTAATAAGTCAAATTTATTAAGGTATAATCAGAAACTGACTGGGCTTTATAACACATAACTATAGTCACTTTACCTAGACAAGTAATAAAAAAAATAGTACCTGTATCATTGGTGAGTTGCATATGATTTCCCACATTTTCCTATGATGAACACGGGTGATGCATGTACACACAAACTAATATATTTGAACTATTCCATTTGACAGCCCTGGGGCATCCCAGCTATTTTACAGAATGCTGGTAGGTGTCTGTCTTCATGGTAAAGCCCAGTGTATTTTCATCTTAAATGTGAAGCACTTATGGTAACCCAAAGACCTGGTTGGCTGTTTGTTCAACTATGGAAAGTGAGAGCAGGATGGTGGGGTGGAAATAAGCTATGCAATGTTTTAAAGACAACCTTTCAGATACAACTATGTATTGCAATACTGCCAAATGCAACAGTAAAAACATATTCCAATGTGTCACACAGATGCATGAAGAGAATACTTAAGTACACTAATATCAGCAACAGAAGAAATTCTCAGGTTGAGAGACGCATTTTTACTTTGTCATAGGAAACAAAATGTTGCAATTTTAATGATTTGTTCCATTTTCAAGTTTATCTGGTAAATGTTAAAATATCAGTGTAAAGTTTGCTACTGCTTTTACATGACCACGGAATGAGCTCTCTGAGGGAATCATAATCATTTTGTCCTTCTTGTTGGGCTCATAAGCAATTTGGCACTTTTGTGAGAATTTTTACATGAATGAATGAGGAGCAAACAAGAACTGGTCACCAAAAGACATTAGTCTTCTGCTGTGAGGAAATATATGGATTCCACAGAAACAATATTGAGCAAAAGCGAATAATTCGTAGACACTGCTTTGTGTCGACAAAACTCGCAGAAACATTACCCTACTTATCTGACAGACTGTTTTGGTCAATAAGTTGTATTTGACTATAATTTATTTTGGGTCAGTTTTCAACTCCTTTTTTTTGCTTTATAAATATTGCAATATTTAATCACAAAAATTGTGGTGATCATGATACTTGAAATTTTTCCAATACCGTGTAGCCCTAATAATTATCATCAAAAAGACTGTGCTTACAAGCAAAGACTTGTGGGCGGGGCTGGATTCAGTGTACGTGTTTCGAGGGCAAACTGCATGCTTGCTCAACCTATCCATCGCCTGAGCACACAGACCTGAAAACACAGTCATTCAAGATGCAAGGCCGGTCCCCCCACCTTAATCATCTGCGATAGGTCCCCTGCGTCAGCAAGCTCCAGAACTATGTTGAGTTCATTCTCTTCAATGAACGATGCATAGTACTTAATTACATTGGGGTGGTTCAATTGCTGCAAAAGAACACACATGATTTTTAGTAAAATACATTGACATCAATGCAAACTGAAATCAAAGAATTCAATTTGCATCTTAAGTAAACATCATAATTTCTGTTAAATATGCTATTCATTTAATTAAGTTAGGCTCATTTCGCTCGTTGGGCACCACCCCTATAGTGAACTGCTTCTAGTCAATAGAAGAGGTTAAAGTGACTAATATAGTGTGAAACAGGCCGGGTGGATTTTCCCAATGCAGGAACATTTCGGCGACAAACCATCCTACAGTGATTAGCATGGGCGATCACATTATCTCTCACGGGATCGTAAAGCCATAGAGCCACACACTTAATTCCCTGGAATAAATCGCCGAAGAGATTTGCACCAAAAGCTCGAGTACATAGTGTAACATAAGACTGGAATACCTCTCAGATAAGGGCAAATAAAACAAATAGTCTCATTATTTCCATCTGTGGCCACGTTGGTACAATGCAGGACTCCCAGTTTCACATGGCAGCTCGTTAGCCAAATTCATTAGCCTCCGATTGGTGGGGGATGCCGGGGGGGATCAGGGAGGCTGCTGCATCAGCCTGCTGACCCCGGTGAGGGATGGCGACTTGTTTTCCAGAGTGTATCTAACCGGCTAATTGAGCAGATGTGTGACGGAGCCTCTCGTCTGCACTGTGACCTGCTCCTGGAGGCCGTCTCCCGCGCCTGGTAATTTTCACCTCCCTGCACACTCCCACCTAGAGCTATCCCCCATACACACGCGTACTTACACCGCTACCAATTAGGCTGTCTCACATGAGACACCTTGGCAAATGGCATGGCGGTGTTATTAGTGATTAGTGTAAGTAGACATGGAGAAATCAACCTCCCTGCCCTAAAAAAAAAAAAAAAAAGTGATAGGAATCTGAGCAATTAGCACGGCAATCTGAACAAACCACCAAGTACAGGAAACAGCTGAACAGGACCAGACTAAGAAGCATTTCCACAGTTCAAGGAGACATATGTGTTGAAACAGTCATTACATTCTATATTAGTGTGATGTCCACACAATCCTGTTTAAGATAGTTTGATATATAAAATTGCGTAAAAAGAACAACAAAGAACACGGGAAGGGGAAAAAACTAAATATTCAGATGGAAAAGGGTGCAAATCTGCAATGCACTGTGGCCCCCTTCTAAATATTACTGAGAAAGATAAAAACTATAGTTTTTGGCATTAAAAAAAAGTCAATCTGAGCCTCGAGGAATGACATACACAACACGAGTGATCCGTGCTCCCTCACATGAAAAATCCGGCTGCAGATCAATTGTTTTCTGTGGTATCGGGTCTCGGCAGAGGAACCTTTAGAAAACATAATACAACGCGTGACGCTGCTGCTTTCTTTCTTTTCTGGTTTGGCTTTTTTTTTTTTTTTACCTTAAGGAGATCTATTTCTTTGATGCAATCTTGCCGGGCTTTGGCATCCATCAACTCGAATATCTGTCAAGAGATCAAAAGCAGAAGAGGAGGGAGGGAGAGAAGGAGTTATGGTATTTCTGAAGGCAGTGCACAGGGAGTGGGCATGTACAGAGAGTGTAGCTGTCTAGCACACCTGGGTGGGAAAGGGTGAGCATGTCACTCCATTTTGGGCACTTGTTGGATACTGTGGGACAGCCTAATCTCCGCTTCACAGTCTCTGTCTTTGACTGTGTGTTCAGACAAAAACGCAAATGAAACAAGAATGAAATCTGATAATGCTAAGAAACGATGCTGCCTGAATACATCAAACGCTGAAAGCTCGTAAACAAAGAGTAAAATTCACTAGAGGAAGCTGCAGTCACAGATTTATGAGCCCAGGCTAAACAGTCTGTCCAGGATTAAACAAAAAAGAAACACCAAATTAATATTTTTTCCTTGCTGCAATTCAGTGTGGGGAAAAAAAAGCATTTTTTTGTCATTATTTTCCTTTAAACATAGTCACGTAACATTTCCCTGCCAATCCTTCAAACCCTCATCTTTGCACAAGCTTCTCAGTCTTGGTGTCACGAGAACTGACAGCGAACAACATCTTTGTGGATCCTTCTGATGGAAAGCAAAACTGCCAGCTGTGGAAACACGTCCCAACACCTGGAACCCAGTTGTGCGGCGTTGCAACATGGGATAGTTCCTCAAACTAGCGAACATGGTTGTCAGACCAGTCACCCCAAGAACGACCCGACATATGGCGGGAAACTTTGCACTCGAGCGTCCGTTTCGCTGACGTGCACTCCTTATACTATATGTCTTTCCAGAGACGTTTCCACGACGTAAGCCATGACTGTGAAAACCAAGACAACATAGCACTCAAAACACGAAAACAAAAACAGAACTGTTAATAGCAGGCAAACATTAAGCGCTACATCAGTATCAAGCAGGAAAAAAAGTTAAGCAGTGAAAGCTATATTTATCCTGTTTAACCTATAGGTTCCACAGCTAACGTTTGGCCTGTGGTATCTCACTGCTACCTACAGAGAAACTGCCATGCACTGATGATGTCACACTGCCCCATTGTTTAAGCCAACGACAAGCAAATTTATTGCTTGGTGGGGACAGGTGATTTATGTATGACGAAAGGGGCTGGGTGGCCCCTCCCACCACAGGCATCCAGTAAAACCTCATTTAGGCCAGCCCAGATCACCGCTTTCCGTTCATCTTGTCCTAAATAATCAGCTATACAACCTACCAAGTTAAAATAAATCAGGGCAACAAGTTTCTACTAACCTAATTCTTGACTTTCAAATTTTCAAATCCATCTTTCATCTTTGCCACACAGTGCTGCATTTCTAGAACAATTCTGGAAAATTCCACAACACTCCCATGACCCACAAAAGTGGTCAGACTGTCGTATTTTCCAGTAGTTGCGCTTTTTTAAACAAGAGCAAAAAAAGGCCCTAGTAGCCAAAATAACATGTTTCACATTTGTAATGGGGATCTGTCAACTTCTCTCAGCCAAACAAACATGGACTTAGCCCAGGGCCTCAGGGTCTTAAACTGTGGGAAACCACAAGCTGCATCAATGAAATCGCATTGGTTCTCCGTGCGCAATAAAAAGCACGCTGGCATCGAATCTGGCACAGGAAACGTGCACGAGGAGGAACAGCGGTTTGTTCGTCAGCCCGTTCCTCTAATTCAATCTGACGTGCTTATTTGTGGAGGAATTGCATCTGCAAATGTTCAGGCTTCCAAACACGCTCGTCAGGGAGGGAGCAAGGCACCCCCAGTTTTGGGAAACGGCACTCGTTTCCAGCAGGTAATTCTCCGCATTCCTTTCCGGAGGATGGACTGCGGATTGAGCAGCTCCTTCAGCAACTCAGGTGGTTCGGCAAGAGGCCGAAATCCCCAAATCGCTGTCCGGATTTTGGCCGCGGGGTTTTCACATCGGTAGAGTGTCTGCCGAACGACGTCTCTCGCGACGGCGCTTCCGGGCGCAACTTGGTGCGCACGGGCAGGCGCGTTAAATCCAGCTTCGTTAGCCGGTCACAGAAGAGGTTCTTTTCCCCAAAAAACCATAAACATGACCATAAGTCAAAAACAGGTTCATTTCCACCCTTCAGGTGCAGATTAAATCTGTCAAAGACTGGGGTTATATTCAGCGGCCCAATGGGATACACTTTATTATATACTGTACACCTAGCTAGTACTGAGTAAGACCCCCTTTTGCTTCCACAATCTACCTCAAGGGTAGATGAGCCATTCTGCACACACAGTTATACTGTTATTTTTCCATTTATGGCCTTTCTCTCACTTTTATCGAGTCTGGCCATTCTCCTCTAACCATTCTAATTAGCAACAATTATCCAAAGTACTTCATGTGCATTATACGATTTATTGATTTCCCATTTGCAGATCAGAAACTCACTGCTGGTCACCTCAATACACTCACTGGAAGCTAACAGAAAAAGGGCAATCTCATTCATAATACTGCATAGTTCACCGCTAGACACGGCACTGAACATCACAGATTCTGTGTCAGTGAGAGGACGACACAGATTCCATGGTTTCAGCCGTGTTATCTGCCGTAAAAGCCTTTCAGGGATGAACTGCATGTTCTCATGACTGGATAGTAATAGGAACACTGTATTCCTCCAACATATTTTTGTTACATCTGTAACAAAAAAATTTATGCTGAGCATAGCAGTGCTGAGGATTAAACTCTTTCGTAACAAACTTTACTTATGAGCAGGCCAAGCATTTCCCATCTCAAGCAGTCACTTTCAGTTTAAAGTTTTAATTAGCAATGAGGACAACTGTAATCTTTCAAGCATCTCAAGCCAAGACTTTATGAAAAGTTTCCATCCAAACACTAAAAACAGCACAATGGCTTCATATGTATTTTCTATCTATCTATCTTTTCCTTTTAAAAAGATGCTGATTCACGAAATGAGCTTCGGTTATAAATATCCTCCTACGATAACCAGGGAGGGGGGCACTTCGAAAGAGACAGAACTAAATAATCAGTCACATTCTACCATTAAAAGCAACCCAATCAGGACCAGTCATTGTAACCGTTGTGAAAATGTATGTCTGATTTTGAAAATAAAATAGAAGCAAAGAAACTTAAGCACAGTGAGATTACATTCACAAATTCTTACAATTTTTTTTTATTACTTTAACTATAGTAATAATAAATATAACTATTCCACATCCAAACAACCTTGACTGGATACAACTAATAACATGGGAAAAACAGGGATGGATAAACATCAAGAAGAAACGTAACAATCACACACAGTTCATGAATTTCCAAACATAGCTAATCAATAAGTATCATGGGTGCACCGATAACCGCATGTCGATGAGGGGGGCAGGACTTGCTGTCACTGATTAGCAGAATGAAGTGGAAACTTATTTGGTAGCTTTAACTGCTTATTTACTCTCTTGCCGCTTTGTGATAGAGGACTTTGGGGTGCGATGCATTGCTTCATGCACCCCATCATGAGTGCTTTGCATTTTGTTTCCCCAGGAATCCTAACCTACCAAAAAGCATCGCCGAAAGCGAGAGGTGACAGCGGATGGCGGAAGAAATGCAAATGAATATGCAGAGCGCCGTTTTCAACCTGAGACGGCAATGGGGGAACAGTTTGGGTTTGAGGAAAGCAGACGTTTGTATGAATTTGACTCATGAATAGGAGCAGATGATTTCAATAATATGAAATTCTTTTCATCAAACCAGTTTGGTTGTAAAAAAGAAAGTTGACTCATTGACCCTCCAGCAACAAATTATTATACCAGTGGAAACTCCTTGATTACATCTAATATTACTGACTTCCAGAACATATAATTTAGCCAATAATACATTATAATGTAATATTAAAACATAAAAAAAAAAGTTTCCTCCAGATCATCTGGATTCCTTACATAGTCTAAAAACTCTCTCTAACTTGTTACGCAGTGTGCGATTGGGTGAAGGTGAACTCTAACTGACTGGCATCTAATACAGCATGCTCTGCCACCCTGGAGAAGCTTCAGGTTCAAAGATACCCTGCCCTGCCCAAGCACTTATGGGAGAGGAGTAAGCTGATACAGGAGAAGAAGATGATGCAGGAGCATTACATTCAAAACTCACAACCACCACCAGGTTTGAATGCAAAAGGCAAAATATTAAAATGTATCAAATATACAGTGATATTATAAAACGAAAATAATTCAGAATAATACGTGTTTCACCTGTTAAATTTATATCACTTACGCGACGCGGCCTATTCAATATTGTAGAGTATTTTAGCATTTTACTCACCTTAACTTTTTTCAAAGCCACGGACGTGTTGTCTAGCAAGTACTTGGCCCTGTAGACTTCGCTAAACTGTCCTCTTCCGATTTTCTTCTCAGTATGAAAGTTGGATAGGCAGTTGTACCCCATGTCGAGCTGTAGAGGCTTCTGTGAAGACAGACGATGACAAAAATCAACAAATCACTCTCATAAAACTGCAAAAATCTAAAATGCTAAAGAAATGCAGGCAGCGTAAAGAGGATTAAAGATGAACTTCATATGAACTTTTCATTCCCAATACCTACCTCTACATGCTGCAAGAGCACAACATTACATTATTCAGAATATATGCCACCCCACGAAATGCTAACAAAATGAACTGTGTAGCACTCTGGCAAATTACCCCTTCATATATGCTATAACAGTAACTAATGGCCTTTACCTGCTTTAAATCAAACTAAATGTGGCAAGAAAATGACATATCATGGTGGCACCTTTCAGCATAGAAAACAGCCATGGGACACCCTTAAGGGCAACCGACTCAAGAAATAATACAAAAACTGATAAAAATCCATAAAAATGCACAGACATACAAATCGGATTACATCCATTTGGTTCTATTTTAATTGTGGTTAAACAAAGCAAACATTACAACAGTAGCATATGGGATATGGACTGGGACAAACAGACAATGAATCGGATAGGATTAAATGTCATACCTATAAAAGTACCACCCCACCAAAAATGGCTGACTGACTTAAACTATTAAAAAAAATGCCTGTTCATATAAAATAGCCCATGAAAACAACACCAACACGGGAGAAAACAAAATTTAAAAAGCCAAGAAATAACTGATCAACACAGCTACCACAGACAACAGTACTAAATAAATACCAAATAAAAAATGCAATTTTACACCTATAGTTCCACAAAATCACAATAATCCGGGCAGCCAAAAATATAGGGATGGGGAGATCAAGGTGCCGTCAATCTCAGTGTTTTGCTGTATCAGCTGACAGTTTTTTTATTATAATAAGTGGTGAGGTAAAGAAACATCCCATTAAAACTGACAACACGGAAGCATAATCTAGTGTCTGGATGCAGAAACCCCCCCCCCCCGCCCCCGCCCCCGCCCCCACTGCTGTCCGAGGTTAATCTAACACTGACCTGAAAGCTCGAGTGAGTTTGGGTCCAGACAGAACCAAACGTGGGTACAGATGAATAACCAGAGTTGATTTTATGCAGCAGCAGAGAAATTCATTTTGCAGCTCAGCTCAAAATTCGCAGAAGCTGATGTTTAATAAGACATGCAGGGTGGGAGGGGCGGGGGTTCAGGCAGGTATCCACGCGGCCGAACGAGCTTCAGGAATCACCCTTCCCGGCCGCACGGTACGCCGACAAAACGCTAGTGCGCCTCATGAAACGCCACGACACCCACATGCTGGGCGCTCAGCGGCGCTAATGCGTCCTGGCACGCTGCTCTGTAATCGCACATTTACATATGCAATGACCTACATTTGCATGTCAGGCCCGCGCGCCGTCTCGGCGCATTAGCCGCGTGCCGCCTCCCCGAGCCGCGCGGCGCGGCCGTGGCGGGACACGGCTGGAGGGCAGCGGCTTTCTTGGCAGCTGGGGACGGGCTGTCGGCGAGGATTAGGCATCGGCGGCCTGAGCATTAGACACTTCATTAGAGCTAATCTGTTTAACAGTGGGCACTGTATGTAAACTTCACAGCTCATTTGCGGCACCTTTTCACCCCGTGAGAGCCCCCCCAGCCCCAAAACCGCGTTGGGCCTGACTGACGGCTCGTCTCATCCGCCACTCCATCCCGCCGTACCATTCAGATTCCCGGGATGACAGGATGAGTGGCAGGCTTCAGTCCCCAATGACTAGGGGGCAGTCTGTACGAATCACAGCTTATTGGGGGGGGGGGGGG